TCAGCAGATGTATCACAATCCAATTTGTAACACCTCTTCTGTGCTACATGCTTCCCTGGATTGCTCATTTACATTTATGAATGAAAGAACATGGCTACTTGGTTTCCTCTCCCAATTTGAGTCTCCGTTGAATAAATCAGGAAGGCTGATAGGAAAGCTGGGGTCTACACCAAACCCACCATTGGAAAAAAAAATGGAGGAGCACTAACTGTCATTTGAAACCCTGGCTTCTTTGAAACACATGCTTTTTTAGAGTACTCTGGCAGCCTTTTGTCTGGGGCAAACACCATTGCTACCCAGGAGTGTTAGAAACCAACTCAAGCAGCCCACCTATTACAGGTTAAATCTTAAATTAACCTGTAATTCTTAAATCAAACATCTTGATTTCTCTTCCTCTTCTCACTCTTGCTCTCCACAACAGGCAATCATAGGGGACTCCATTGTAAAAAAAAAAAAAAAAAAAAGGTTACCACCTGAGTTACAGTCCTCTCTGACTTAGAAATTCTTCTGAGATGTGTTAAGGTTTTTTCTTTGGTATGATCCACTCTGCTTCCCAAATCCTTTTCCATTCTCTTTTCAAAACCTTTAGTCCTGTGATGTGTACTTCTGTTTTTGTGCTTTTATCAATTCCATTTTTAAAAAAATTTCTTTATTGTTAATTCAAGAGGATTTTATTTGTGTGAGGGGAGGTAAATGCTGATTTCAGTCTGCCATCTTGAACTCAAAGTGTTGCATTTTCTTTTTAACACCCAAAAGTTCAGAATTTTATTTTTTAAAAATATTTTAATTTTATACTGGAGTACAGTTGATTTACAATGTTGTGTCAGTTTCAGGTGTGCAGCAAAGTGATTCAGTTATACATATATATATATATATTCTTTTTCAGATTCCTTTCCCATATTGATTATTACAGAGTACTGAGTAGAGTTCCATGTGCTATACAGTAGGCCCTTGTTGATTATCTATTTTATATATAGTATATTTTATATATATAAATTTTTATAATAATTTTTATCTTTTCTTCACAGCATTTATCATCTCTTACTTAATGTCTTTCTTTCATGCTAAAGTATAAGCTCTGTAGAAGCATAAGCCCTGTCTTCTTGTTCTTCCTTTTACTTTCAATGGCCTAACCCATTATTGGTACCTAATAATTATTTGTTAACTGAATGAATGAATGCGTCACATAACTTGTCTACTCTCAGTGAATTTACTGAAACTTAACACCTTAAAATAGTAGCTTGTGGGGGGAGTGATGGTAGTATCTGTGAACAGCTTGAAATGATATACAAAATTTTCTGGGTATGCCTCTCTTGTTTATCCTACAGTTCTCAATTTTCAAAGGGGCCCATTAAAGAAAAAAAAGGCTGAAAGTCACTGCCTTAGGAAAAGACCCCCAAAGTAGCATTTTACTCTAAAATATTTAAAGATCTCAACTTTGTAAACCGCTAATTCCCTCTGACTTAATTTTAATTCCACAGATTTATCTGTGGCATTCCCTTGGCATATTTGGAATTTCTCAGGATCAGGTTCTATAGCAGTTCAGTGCTAAGGTGAGGAGGGGCATCTAGGTAAGGATTGACTGCAAAGAAATGATACCATGGTACACCTAGAAGCAGAGATAACAGAAGTAATTCTTCAATAGTCTTGGAGCACAAATACATTGTTTGTTTATAGAATACTTACCTTTTCAGCTGGGAGGATGTGTTGTTTCATGAACTGCTTCACCCTAGTAAGAACTTCCTGGCCTGTCCTAGTCTGTACAAACAATTGTCTGGTAGTATCAGTCTGTGGAAGTGCAGTACTGAAAGTTCTTTATAAAAAAAAAAGTTACAAAGATGTGCAAAACCATTATTATAGATTTCTGAATAGAATGTAAAGTCTTCCCCCAGTTTCCCAAAAACATCTCTCAGAAGTTTCCATATTTTGGAGTTTTTGTCTTTCATGTTATGGAAGGAATGCAGAATCACTTTATTTTGAACATTAAACTTTAATGCTTAAAGCACTTTTTGGAGAAAACATAAGCCTGGCATGATCTCAATCAATGGGAGTTTAAAATCTTTATTGAAGCCACATATCAGAATCTCTAAACAAGAAGGCAAAGAAATAGAATACAAATTTAATAATTACTCTTAGTATATGCCTCACAAATACAACTGCTGGATATCATTATAAACAAGACCTTTAAAGATCATTATGAAAAGCAGCATCATTTGTTATGTTGTGGAGATTACAAATATTCGTGTATGAGATGTATACATGTAAAACACAACTGTCCTAATGGTATGCCATGGATACTTGTGGCTTGGGCAGAATTTCCAGGGACAGCATCATCCATGCATTCAGTAAGTGCTATATATCACACTGTATTTTTTTTGTTTGCTTGTTTTAAATTTTGCTTTATATTGGAGGATAGTTGATTTACAACATTTACAATGTTTCAGGTATACAGCAAAGTGATTCAGTTATACATATACATATAGCTATTCTTCTTCAGATTCTTTTCCTATATAGGTTATTACAGAGTATTGAGTAGAATTCCCTGTGTTATATGGTAGGTCCTTGTTAATTATCTATTTTATATATAGTAGTGTGTATATGTTAATCTCAACCCCCTAATATATTTCTCCCCTCCATCACACCTGTTAGATGGCAGTGTGTTTGGAGAAAGTGTATTAGATGTCTCAAAAGTGCTCCACTAATGGGGATATGAATTTCAAAGACTCTTATGAAATGTCTGAATACAGTTTCATGCAACGTCATGGTGGAAGAGAGTAACATTTCTAAACTTAATAAATCATCTTATATAATACATAACTTTAAACAGGTATATGTAAGTAACTTAAACATTAGAAGGAAACATTTGAGAATTTTATCAATATCTTAAAGGTTTATACATTCAAATTGCAAAAAAACCCACAAACCCCTTTTAATCATTAAATGGGTATTTTCTTTAAATCTGAGGTCAATTTATTTTCAAGCATAAAAGAGATTTACTAAAAGATTTACCACGGGGGCCTCCCTGGAGGCACAGTGGTTGGGAGTCCGCCTGCCGATGCGGGGGACACGGGTTCGTGCCCCGGTCCGGGAGGATCCCACAGGCCGCGGAGCGGCTGGGCCTGTGAGCCATGGCAGCTGGGCCTGCGCGTCCGGAGCCTGTGCTCCGCAACGGGAGAGGCCACAACAGTGAGAGG